GCACTGGCGGCAGCCCGTAAATAAGAAACGGCCGCTTCAAGCAAGCAATTAACAGCAGGTTTACAGCTACGAGAAGTCCCCGCATGCGGAGGCAGTTGGCAGGCAGTATCAGGCAGTTGGCAGGAAGCCCTTGAACAACTGAGCCCTGCACAGAGCTTGCCGCTCCGCCTGCCGCATCCTGACCTCAGGATTGCACCATGTTGGGGGTGCGGCCTCCTGCAGCGTGCAAGCAAGTTGCCGTCCCGGAGCCAGGCATGAACCTGAGCCATTCCGCTCGTGAGGCAGCGAGATGCTGCGAAGCGTCAACCACACAATCTGCGCCACACATCTCTTGATGTCTCCATGGAAACCCTCGCCAGCCCTGTCGTACCACCTTCCCTGTACCAGGACTCAGGCTTATTACGGCTTATTGCTCTTCTATCTGTTCGATCTTCGTCCGCTGACCCTTTCCGCTGTGATCTCCGTTGGAGAAGCGAGCCGAGCAGCCACATCACTCGGGCTTTCCTCCAGCATGGCCTGCAAGCCGGCTTGGACATTGGCAAGCCCATGCTCAAGGGTTCGGAGACTGACTTTGGAGCTCGCCTCCAGATCGAGGTCTGACAACCGAGAAATGATTGGCGCCAAACGTCGCGGGTGGCCGTGCACCTCAAAGCAGAATTACGCCTTCTCACAGCCTAAATCGACAAGTTTGTGCCTCAGGCCTCGAGCCCCAATAGGCACCCGGCAGCCACGGCCTTCTCCGCCCAGCAGTGCTTCAGGAACTCTTCCCGGGACAAAGGTGTCAACAGTCTGCCAGGCAAGGCCCTGTTCACTGGGGTAGCTCCGGTGATCGATGTCCCCGCCTGGCCACAAGCTCCCCCGGCTCAAGCGATGGGTCCACAGCAGCACCGCGAGGACAGTCGAAGCTGAGCAGGACTCAGCGCAGCGCGGAATAGCACAGCACAACTACGGAACGCAGTCGCAATCGCATCTTGACAGCTTCGATTGCGAAGTGGCAGAGACTGCGATTGGCAGATTGGCAATTCGACTGCAGCCGAAAAGCGCTTGTCTTCCCCAATGTTCGAAGCTTCCTTGTGCCTTCCAGAGTTACATTCGATGTCGAAGAGACGGAAGGGGGATGAGGGCTACGCACATATGCACGCAACGTGACCGTGCAAACACACTGGCATCGTCACAGCAAGGGCTGCTCGAACTGTACATACTAACCTAGATAAGTCCGAAGCCCTTCCCCCCGGCTTCAAATTCGCAAAAACACAGCGAAGGTCCAGGCCCTAGGCCCTAGGCCATCCCCAACTGTCCGGACCAAAGAGCTTTGCCTGGAAAGAGTTCATTCACACATGACGCTGAAGCTAAGTTTACTGGCTCCTTTCGTGCCGCAGACAGGGCCGGAGCCGGAGGCCGGGGCCTGAGCTGGGCTTACCCAGCCCTGCCCTTTTTGCCTAAGCCTGGACATGAACGTCTGAAAGTGCTCACCTCCGGGCGCAGCCTCGATCCAACAACACGCCGGGACTGACAAAGACCCAGACCTAGACCTGGTGACAGCTGCCGGTCTGAATACACCCGACTAGCTCAAGTCTTCGAAGTTGTCGAATGCCGACAAGCGCGCGGAGAAGGCTGAGAGGCCCCTGAATAGTGCGAATGAGCCTTGGCACGTTTGTTCGGGAGTCTCGAACCGGCAAGCCACATCGAGACGAGTACCCGGCACTCAGAGCCAAAAGTACCAAGACCATGGATCGGCAAACTGATCCAGGTGATCACCCACATGATTCTGTATCGCCTCAGTTGACCCCCAGCTTCCGAGATATTAAACGCCTCGTCCGCTGCCGTTTGTTTACATGCGCAGCGGTTGCCGGGCGTTTTGCCATGAGACACAGCTGTCTGCACTTCTCAAAGCACGATCAGTTGATTGTTTGGCACCGAGTCTGGTCGCAAGGTAAGAAGTCTGGAGGAATGTTTCCAAAGTCTCGCTCAGCCCAGCGCATGATTGTGCTCTCAGGAATGCTTTGCTCAACAGAAAATGTCTGCAACAGACACAGCATGATCCCATCGTGATCTTTGTCCACCTGGCTCTTGAATCTGTCAGAACAACGGGGTGTCTCAATCAACCGCTTGCGCAAGCTGCATGGCTGCATGAAGCGCACATCTGCATGTATCTAGTTTTGAGCTGCTGTGATGACAAGTGTCTGTTATTCCAGAGCGCCGTTTTGTCCCATGCTTTGGCCACAGTGGGCTTTCAGAATCAACGAAGAGTCTCAGTCCGATTCGTTCGGCACCGAAGCCGTCATCTCCGGGTCCAGTCGCATATGCTCCTTGGCAATGGGCGACACCAGGAGGCCCCGCTGCGGCAGAGTGCATTGCTGCGAAACTGCCTGGCGAGAGCATCAGTATTGTCACTTTTTGGGGGGTATGCGACCTGGCACAGCCCACATTCCAGGTCCGCGCCTGCCCGGCACAGCTTGTCAAAGCCCTTGTGCTTCCGTCCATGAAAGCACCTGCAACTCCTGGCACCAAGCTTTCTGACGGCCACTGCACTTTGGAAGAGCAATTTCTTGGCCGGGGGGCCAGCTCATCGCCATCCTTGAGACCCAAGGCTGCCAGCTGCTGTGACTCAGGCTCCAGCCTGGCTGAACAGCGGCCCAGGAGACCCTCTCTGGAGCAAAGCTGTGACCTGGCCCCTGGGCCTCTTCTCTGTGCGGAGGAGCGTTAGTCGTTGCTGTGGGATGGGGAGGTCGACCACAACTTGCTCCAAAAGCTTCTTCAGGTCCAGGACGGTTTGCAGCCCTCGGGAGCATGTGCGCATTCCGCCGAGTTTGAGGACTTCGGGCTTCAGGAATTGACTCGTTGATGCTCCACCTCAAAAATCGGTGTGCTTGGACCTGCTTGGAGCTCCTTCCTTTCTTTTGGGGGGGCCGCCTTGGCGGCCAGAGACTTCATAAGTGAAAACCCATGAACGACGGCTGTAAACAAGCCGAAGCGCCCCTTGTTGGGATGAGTTTCAAGTTCAACGCGGGTGGAAGCAACTTTCTCTGGGCCGCAGCCCAGCTTCGGAAACATGTCCACCCGCTGGTGCCGACGAGATACCAGTCAGCTCAAGCTTGTACTCATTTCCGACCAAGTCCTGGCAGAGCGCTGAGACAGTGAGCGATTGCTGAGACTGTTGCGACGTCTTCCCTCTTCCAGAGGACATGTGCAGGGACTGGAGACACCGCAAGCAATCCGGGCATTCGTTTGCAAATGAAGTCTCCTTCACCAGAACGGACATGTGGCTGAAGCGGCCCACGGTCAAAGCTAGCACCAGACTGGGAGCCAGCTCGCAAGGTGAAGCGACAATTCTTTGACTTCATCTTCAGCCGCCGTGAAGCTAACGGACAGCCGGCTCGTCTGAAGCAAGTTCTTCTGACACAGCTTAAAACCAAAAACGCTGCACCGGACCCCACGAAAGCACGCTGCACGTTGAGACGTGTTCATCCGACGCACTTTTAACAGAGCTCGAAGCAGCTTCGCTTATGCGAAGCTCGGAGTTATCGCAGTCAACAGACCCGGTAAATCATCCACGTGAACCTGCAGCGATCCACGCGAAGCACGAGAGACATGTAAAATGCACCTTCTGAACCTACGATGTCAAAGCTTTCTAGCTCGGCGCGCGTTGTGCCCTGCATTTTCCAGTGTGACCACCTGCACGCCCTGCAAAGAGCATGGCGCATGGCCGTTGCGGCTGGACAGCTTTCGATGCCAGAACGACCACTTCCCGACCTGGTGGCAGTTCTCCAGTCGCTGAAGGTTTTCCGGTCCCCAGCTCTGCCTTCGAGAGAGAAGAAGCGGGAGATTCAGAGCTGGCTGCTACGAACCAGAGCATATCACCTACTTCAGCCAGCATTTCGCTGCCCTTGCCTGTTACGGCCCGCCACCACGATGCCAACTTCCTCAGGACACGATGGCTGAAGCTCTGCGACCACCGCCCTCATTCACGATCTGTGCAAGTTGACCACACATCGTCATCATTGCATCCGAAGCTCTGCATTGCCCTCCTGGAGCAGATCCCACATATCCGTACTACGGTAGGCTTCATAAATCTTTCCTCGGCAACCAATTCGCGTGAGCTCGACACTGCGGTCGTCAAGGAAGCTTGGGTCTCCACGCACGACTTCCATATCGTAGCTCAGCTCCACTCCATCCCTGGTCAAGCTTTGAACCCCCATTTTTGTGCACTCACCAAACTGAGGCAGCGTCGGCACTTGGCGAACTGATTGAGCCTGCGGATTGGACTGTCCCACATTGTGAAACTCTTCTCCTAGCGGTCTCAACGCCGGGCGGCGATCCACGCCGCTGCAGGCGGCGCAAGGCCGTGCTCTTCTTGCAAGACCTCCACGAGATCCTGAGCCGCCATGGCAAAGGAAATCTGCTCGCTTCTCTTAGACCAGTGGACCTCCCAGCCCCCTGGATCTGTCCCTCCATCTTTCTGCAGGTTTACAGGAGGCATTCCCGCCCCTCCTAGGGGCCTCCTGTCTGGTCTGACCCCTTCGGGCGTGCTGGGTGAGGTCCCCCCGAAGCTGCCGTAGTCTTTGTCTCTGTCATTGCACTCAACACGATCCCGCACGGCTGTCTTGGCAACCTCTTCGCACAGAACTCGGGTCTGACGTCATGTCGTAAGCACACCAGACTCACCACACAAGGTGCTTCAATTCAAGGCCCTCGGCTTTGCAGAGCCCCGACGAGACAAGTAGCAGACTGCCACTCAGTACCCTCGCCAGCTGCAAATGCACAGCCAAGCATCGCTGCGGCTGCTGAAACGCCTCGACGCCGCAGAGGCTACAGCTCCAAGCACGAAGTTCACCTCGTATGGGCACGAACAAAATGATACTCACCGAACGCCTAACAGCCGAGAGATTGATTGCTGTACACGAAGGTGGTCCGATGATCTGTACGAAAGTTGCACCAAATCTTTCTTGACTGCATCAGCTTGTGTTTGAGTATGATCGTCCTTTTGCGGTGCTGGTGTGCAAGTCTTCCAGTCCTGCGAGTGCTGACTGCAGCAGCCTCCCCGACTTGAACTCCGTGCTGACCAGGCGGCACTTTGCAGCCGACGTTCCTCTTCTGCAGAGGATTCTGCTGGAAGTCCTGCTACGTCGACACCGTGAATGTGGCGACCTACGCTCAGTCATCCAGCGTCCTGGAACTGAATCAAATATCCAAGTGCACCTGGGAGGCTTGCCTTGGGCTGACAAAGCACGAAGGACGGCCTCAGAGATCGCAGACTTCTGACAGCTATGTCTACCGGGCATGAAGGATATGATTGGGAAAGCAAGAGATGTCCAAAGCAGGCCAGAACACCAGGGCCACCTTCCCGCCGAAGGAATGCCCACAAAGCACAAGCTCGGCTTGCGAGACCCCAGCAGCCTCGAGCCTTGCCGAGACAGTGACATGGCTTAGCAAAGACGACCCCTCCTATGGAAGCGCTGCCGGTGGATCTTCTCTTCTTTCAACTTTTCTGAAGTTCTGTGCCACGCCACGTCTCAAGCACATCGTCCTTGCAGCCATCGAGGTTGTGAGGCGCAGATCCTGCCGCAGAGTTGTTGCGGGAAGGTTGCAGCATGTTGAAGCTGCTGAGTGCTTGCCGTGTCGGAAGCAGTGGGGCGAGTAACGCCACTTGATGGCATCTTCAGCGCAGGCCGAAGCAATTCATCTGCACTGGCCGGAGGTGACTATATAGGCAGGGGCAGCATCAAAAGAAAGTGCCACCTGAAGGCTAAACAAAAATGGCAGCACTCCTGGTGGTGGTACGGTAGAAAGTACTAGCAGGAGGAGGAAGAGGACGAGGAGGAGGAGCAGCAGCAGGAGCAGGAGCAGGAGCAGGAGCAGCCAGAGGTGGGCACGGGTAGGGGTAGGAGGAGGAGTAGGAGTAGGAGTGGAGAGGAGCAGAAGTTGTTGGAGTGGGAGTGGGAGTGGGAGTAGGAGTAGGAGGAGTAGGAGTGTGATACAGAATGGGAGGAGGAGGAGTAGGAGGAGTAGTCAGTAGTAGTCGGTAGCAGCAGTAGTGGTAGCAGTAGTGGTAGCAGTAGTAGTAGTAGTAGTAGTAGTAGTAGTAGTAGCTGCTACTACTACTACTACTACTACTACTGCTAATACTGCTAGTGACCCAGCACCACATCATGGAGCAGTCTTGCA